GCTAATGGTTTTCGGTTTAGGACCTTGTCGTACTGTGTTTGTTTTAGTTGGAGCCATATTGATTTAGACTCACTGCCTGGCCATGCTCATAGAAAAAAAAAATGAGAAAAAAAAAAGACAATAGATATTGACTTCAGAATGCAGGAACCACATACTACTACCTATACTCCCTCTTTGTCCTTTGATCATTTTATATACAGTGTAAACCCCCAATGGAGAAGCTAAAGTCACTTACCAGTACAGAATTCAGGTAAGACACTATCACTCTGGTACCTGTTCTTCAAACATGAGAAATACTGACAATAGTCTTCTCTCTGTCCTCTATAGAGTTATAAAGAGTCACATTAGAAGATAAAATAATAGTCTGACCATTGGAAAGTGTTGAGATACAAGCCCCCCCCCTATCTTGAACACTGGATCGATGACTGTTTTTGATATTGTCTGTGCGAAAAATCTAATTTTTGGATCATCACTTATCACTCATTTTTGCAGATCACCGTTGTCTAACTGTTAACGGCAATACCCCGATCGCCTTAGGCGGCGGATTTCAAGAGTTTTTACGGTAGGAGATTCTATTCTAGAATATAATAAATAGTATACCAACTGCTAAATGACGATGGTCATATATTATTTCAGATTAAATTTGACTAGTAGTATGCGTGTAAGATATATAAAATACTATAAGATGAACATTATAATTGAAGATGTTTTTGGATTACGAATTACTCAGGAGCTGTATGGCAGACCCCGTGTTAAGATGACACCTTCCCCGGGTCCTTTCACTTAGGGTCTGGATATTGGAGGCATGCCGGAGGAACTGCATTACACGAGTAAATACGCCATCTCTCTGACACTCACCCTTCCCTCAACTAGCTGCCGGCGATTCGATAGGCTTTTGGATTGATTTCTCGGTATGCTTGATACGTTTACGTTTGGATTTAGACGATTGATCTTCGTAGATGGAATCAGTGTTAGCAAAGGTGGGAAGTCCCCGGTGGCCGCACGGAGAGGCGCCAAGAAGACCGGCCATGGGTGGGCCATCATTGGCACTCGGCCTGATCTTGCCGCATCGGAGGACAGCATGTTTTGGTAAGGGCTACTGGCCCAATGGGGTCGCCCACTATTTTGCCGAGCCAGTACAAGAAGCGCAGGTGATGGCGGGGGACTGCGGATTTTCTTCCGGGGACAATGAGAATCGTCCAGGATCGGTAGGAATCTGAAGAGGACTATGGGGATCCGGGGAGGAATATTGTGTCCTATGGGGGTTTACAACTGCTGGGGAATCAGACGTAATGACTAGATGCGGCCCCGGCGGATCGCCGGCCGGTGTTTATACGGTCCTCGGGTGCTTATAATTTTATAGCTTTCTCCTTCGTGGTTCCCTCTCGCTTTAGTTATTAAGCCTTAAGGGGTGCCTGCAAGCCAGACTTAGTTCCGAGTAAAATCAGGAGCTATGTTGTGCATCTCCCTTTAGAATGTAAATCATACTAAGACAGAATTTTTCTTACTAGCATACATCCCGTGAGAAGTTCTTAGCTAACAAAGCTTTATATTACTAATTGTAGTCTACAAAATTTACTGGCCCTGCGAGGTTGCGAGAAACCCCGGAAACTTCTCGGATAGGCTTCCACGGCGGGTTTTCGTAAGGCCACCCAGTATCCCTGGGTGCCCTTATGGGGCCCTGCCATCTTCCCTACCTTCCAGCAGAAAGCCCTGCGGCGGAAAAAAAAAAAAATCTGGTCGGAAGTGGACTGACTATGATGTGACCATCCTCACACTACCCCTGAGGCGCATGGACCGCCCGGTTGTGAACTCCGGATGGAATCAACCCGTATCAAACGAATTTCTAGACTATTTGTATCATGGGATTTAATTTCTATCAACATCGCACACATTGCCGATGCCCGTCAAGCAGAGGGTGGGATGTTGGGTGCTTTTGACGTTTTTGTGTCCCGGATTATGGACTTCCCCAATATCTTTTATAGTAGCTGATTCATGAACAGATCGCATTGGCTCCCATACCGATAATAGTGGCAGCCTAGTCTTTTTTTTTTTCGCCCTCCTGTTCCGAATAGAGCACGAGTCGAGTAGCAATATCATACAAGATATCACCTCAATTCAATTATCTCTGTATAGCTAGAGTTTAGGGTATCCTCGCGATCAGAAATTTGGGAGTGGACATGAAGTTTATTCTATGGATGTTGGACTTAACTAAAAACAATTAATATTGGAGGAAAGACTTGTACTTCTAGTTCTAGCCAATCAATTGGATCGTTTGAGAGCGGATAGTTTAAAATTTATAAAGCACCAGGAGAAATGGAGGCACCCGGTGGGTCCATTATCATACTCGGCTATATCAGAAATTGGAGGGATTGGAACGAGTGATGGGCTGTGACGGAATCCCATAAGGAGTCCACCCGGGTAGTTTCTCCTATAAAATCTCTTGGTGTGGAAAATTTCCTCGTAGTGCGCCACTGCAAATCCAGGCCCTCCCGTTCTATGCGCATGGGCTCGTGTTCCCATAGCTATAGAAAATGGACATACAGGAAGGTATCCTAACGTCAACTATCATGAACCGGGACATCGCCGGGATGCGGGATCTGGCGATTGCGCAATATTTGAGACAGCTCCCCGTGCGTATTTTGGATATATATAACCTTAGAAAAGCCAGAAAATGTAAAGAAAATAATGAAATCAATGCTAACAAAGGAGGGATGATAGGAGGCCATATGGGAGAGAACTAGAATATGCTTGGAGGTCAGTATGGAAATAAAAAGATGGGAAGTGGGAGGATAGCATACAAGAATGTCATAGGAAATTGGGGAAGAAAAAAAAAGTCAAGATCGGGGCTTCCGTGATCGAAGTGACATATGGAGAGGAGGAATAGTGGTCCAAGATGTTTTTGAGGAGAAAGGGGTAGGTTTCGCTTGGGTAGTTTGCTGGGAAACAAAGTGGTTTTCAGAGGCCAAATTCCACTCTTCATCGCTTAGTGCTTCCACTTCACCACCATCAGAAGCCTGTGAGGGAGGACTTCCAGAAATCTCAGTAGGTGTAACAATAGTAGTAACTCGAGGCTGTGAAGGGACCCGGTTGGTTTTCGGGGGTCTTCTGTGTGGATTCTGACCCTTTCTTGCATCTTTATTGAGTCTGGCATCTCGTAGCTCAATAAGTTGGACACCGGAAAGAATCCGTGCTTCAGACAGCTTACGACGATCTGTTTGGTTCTTGAGAGGTGCGGCTTGTTGTAGGCGGTATGACTGTTCCTGATACAGCTCACACTGGGCAACTTCAGTCTCTAGTTGATGGCCCAGTTCTCGTAGGATAACTTTAACACGTAAAGCAAGCCGTTCGGATGAAGCCGTTATGGTGGAGCCAGTTGGAGGGGGCAGTGCAGACTCGGTGAGTGATAGGGAGGCTAGACTTTCATCTAACATTTTCTCTGCAGCGATTATTCTCCGGCGGATATCCTTGCTTTTCCTAGGACTTGAAATAAGACCCATTGT